CAGAGGATACGGACGTGAGACGTCTTCGACGATATCCTTCGTCTCGTCGAATGTCCGTTGGAACTCGTCTCTCTTATCATTCCCGACGCTAAATCGCCCGACACTCATGACCGGCGCTTCGAGGAGCGATCTCTCGTCCGGCCTCAGACTCGTGAAAACGGGGCCCTCGAGGTGGAAGAAGACGACAGCCCTCTCACCTTGCGTGTCAAGATGCGGGCTGAGATCGGCCATCACGGACGCGTTCTCAGCCGAGGCAATCCACCTGCCGTGCGCCTCGGGGGACTCCCACTGCGCCGTGAGCAGCAGAACCGTCGGGTCCTCGAGCTGGCGGTACATGGACGTGCCACGCGCCGTACGGTCTGCGGGTAGAGAGGGGTCGTCCTTCAACACCCATGCATCTTGGGTGGCCTGGCACCTTTCCAGCAGGGCCAAAAATTCGGAGCCGAGATCATCTTTCGCTGTGAGGGGGAGGATTGCGAGCTCGGAAACGACCATGGCGGCAGACCTGGCGAGACGTCTTTCTGTGTTGTGTTTGTGTGTGTGTGTGTTTGTGTGTGACCTGAACGTTCTTCTGTAAGGACGGCGAGACATGGACATTCGTGACATGTTGGATTGTAAAGTGATCACTCTAGGTCAATTTACCTCACATCGCGACCCAACCATGACGTGGACAAAGCTACCTGGGACCATCCACCCTAAGAGCCGCCCCAAGTCCCAAATCATCCAACGCCCCTCAACTCTTTCGTGCCGCCGGTACCCGTCCTCTCTCCATGCCGGCCACTAAGTGCAGGCCATGCGGACAACATGCCGCTCACAGGCCGACGGCATTCCTCGCCTTCTTCAACTTGTCAAAAACCGCGAGACAGCGACATGCCATTCGCAATGCGCCACACCTTCAGCGCCGCTCCGGCGAGCGAGACAAGTCACAGCGAGTGCTTCATCAGTCGGAACTGCGAGTTTTATGCCTTCTGGCGAGTGCGTCGCTGCGCGTGATGAGTGTTGATGTGGCAAAGACTAGGCACTGCTATCTTTGTGAACCCCGGTCAGATCACTGATATGACTGAGGATCTTACGCAGCGGTTTGGACCTACACACCCAAAACAACAGCGCACGCGAAAACTCGCCGCGTGGGCTCGTTCCAGTGCGCCTCCACGTGCGGCCTTCACTCGGACAAATTATCTCCTTCTCCATGCGTAACGACATAGTTTCAAGGCTGGGTTACCGCCAACGCTCGAAATGAGTCCTCGGGGTTGCGGGGGGACAACATTTTGGGGCGGGACCAGCCCTTCCCACTAGGCCGTAGCCTTCTTTTCTTTTGCTGCCCAAAACCCATCGGAGTGCACGAAGAAGAGGGGAGACATGCAGCGGAAGCTGCTGCAGCCGAAGCGGGCAAGTGAGGAGGGCGCAGCGTGGGCTGTCAAGGATCGTTCCCATACTGCCACCGTCGAGAACATGCTTGACCAAGTTGCTGTGCTTGAGTGCCGTTAG